ATGACTGTAACCCCACAATCCCATCTCTAGTATGAGTAAATTGGGAGTTTGAAAGAGAAATGCGGATTTTGCATGATGTTCTCTGTTATAAATGTTATGTTCCTGGGTATGTAATTGTCGGCTCCAACCAGTCAGTCTGAATATACTTTTCATTTCTCATTTAAATATTCATAGTGCCTTAATTTTATTTCTGAGCTAACATACTTTCCCCTGCAAACAAACCCAACCAACCAATGAACCAACCAACCACACCCCACATACCTGAGAAAAAGGGCATCAGAGGACATGTCACTTAAGGGGAATCCAAGGTCATTTTTTTGCTGAAGCTCCACATTCGCTTCATTTTTCTGACTCTGAGATATAAAGGAAAATGAGCAAGATGTGAGTTCTTCTTCTGTACCCCTTGCCATGTTTATTCTTCTTAGCACCTTCTGTTAGTCACTGCTGCTGACTGGACACAGATTAGACTGCTGGCTTGCCCCACGGTGTTTTTCCTGCATTCCAAGTAGTTTATGGAGTGAAGCTTGTGTGTGGTGGGGAGGTAGAAATGAAGAAAAACAGGTGTTTAAGGCTCTTTGATTTTAGGAGTGTTCTACACAACCATTTAACTTGAATTGAAGAGCTTTCAAGAGATGAAGTGAATGCAACTAAAACCAGTGCCTAAGACTACAGCTTTCACCTAAGAAAGGGAAGAGAACATGGAGACTTCCCATTTCATTGTGGACACACATCCCCATGTCCTGCTGGTGCAATGCTAAATACATGGCTGGCAAGGGGCTGGAGGAACCTGAGTATCATAGGACCATTTAAGCTGGAAAAGGCCTCTCTAAGATCATCAAGTCTAACTGTTCCTCTGGCACTGCCAAGGCCACCACTAAACTAAATCCTCAGGTAACACATCCACAGCTTTTAAATCCCTCCAGGGATGCTGACTCCATCTCTGCCTTAGACAGCCTGTGCCAGTGCTGGACAACACATTCCAGGAAGAAATTTTTCCCAATATCCAACCTCAACTTCCCCTGGTACAGCCTGAAGCCGTTTCCTCTTGTCCCGGCCCTTGTTTCCCAGCAGCAGAGGCTGACCTACCCTGGCTGAACCCTCCTGTCAGGGAGTTGTGCAGAGCCAAAAGGCTCCCCCTGAGCCTCCACTTCTCTGAGCTGAGTCCCCCAGCTGCTCTCCCAGCTGCTCCTGGTGCTCCACCCCCTTCCCCAGCTCTGCTCCCTTCCCTGGACACGCTCCAGTCCCTCAGTGTCTCTCTTGTCAGGAGGAGCCCAGAGCTGTCCCCAGCACTGGAGCTACCCCAGCAGTGCCAGCACAGGGAACCACGCCAGGCCTTCTGGACACACCACAGCTGTGACGGCCCAGGTGCTGTTGCCCACGTGGGTTCATGTCCAGTCACTGTCACCAGAACTACCAGATCCTTTCCCAGCTTGGAGCATTCCATGGGATTGTTGTGACCCAAGGGCAGAACACAGCTTTGGTCTTGTTGACTCTCCCACTGCTTGCCTCAGCCATGGATCCTGCCTGTCCATTTAATCAGACATTCCATAACTCCTGACTTCTCCTCCCACAGGCTTGAGGTGCTGCCTTGGGGATGCAGAGGGGCTGAAGCTCTGTGGGGATGAAGCTCACAGACAATGCAGATTCTCTACCTGCTGACGGTATTTACGTGCCTGTGCAGACTGATTTACCTGGGCTAGGACAAGCTTAGTAAAGCAGAACAGCTATTCCCAACTTCTCCCTCCATGCTGTCCTTACTACAAAATAAATGTGTCCACACAGGCAGCTCATCAGCACTGTCTGCTCCGAAGCAAGCTGGGTGGCAGAGAAGCTCTCACTCTGTTAGGACTGGGAATCTCTCTACCCTGAGCTGTCACTGAGCCCAGAGCTGAGCTCTGCACATGACTTATCATCATTCTCCTGTGGTCTGGCACAAAGAGCACCTTCAGTCACACCACAGAGCACTGCAGAGGCACAGCTTCTTACTGAGTGTATGTGCAGGCTGGCGGAATCATGGAATCTTCTGAGCTGGAAGGGACCCACAAGGATCATCCAGACGTGATCATCATCAACCTGCCGCTGCACAGACACCCCAACAATCCCACCCTGTCCATCCCTGGCAGTGCTGTCCAAACACTCCTGGAGCTCTGGCAGCCTCGGGGCCGTGCCCATTCCCTGGGGAGCCTGAGCAGTGCCCAGCACCCTCTGGGGGAAGAACCTTTCCTGACATCCAGCCTAAACCTTCCCGGCACAGCTCCAGCCATTTCCTTGGGTCCTGGTCACAGAGAGCAGAGGCCAGAGCTGTCCCTCAGGAGGAATCTGCAGCCCCCCAGGAGGATGGCATCCTGATGGCACCAGTTGGGCTCTATCCCTCTTGCCTTCCCCAGCAGAAACCCCCTCATGAACTCTCCTTACACTAAAAACAGTTTTATAAATTTCTTCTCCTTTAAATTCTCTTATGTCAGTCAAGATCTACCATGAGTTCTTTTCTCCCTCTATCTCTCTCATTTAATATTTTACAGTGGAATCAAGTCAGTTCTCCCACTGTTCTGGGGGCAGACTGTACATCTCCAACACAGGCTTCACTCTGCAAATCCCTGGGCACAGTCAGGGCACGGTGTACTCCAGGCTGTCCCAACTTCCTGCTGTGCAGCTGCCCTGCGTCCCTGCCAACTCCCAGGCTCTGTCTGGGCACAGAACGAGGCACCTCCAAACACCAGGAGGCAGAAAGGAATTACCATGTGTCAGATGCTGAGGTCCTGAGATAAATTATTATTAACACCTCGTCCTATCCCATTGTTTTCAACAGGGAGAAGGAAAACACACACTCAAACTCCTTGTTTTCACATAAGCTCCTTTGCAAGCAGATTATACAACAACAATGGCCACCCTCAATTTTCCATATAACTGATTTTCTTAAACATCTATCCTGATCTTCAGGCACTTTAAAGTTCTAAGGGTTTTTTTTTTTTTTAAGCTCCAGTTTGAGTGTCACAGATTGTTTCCAATATCAAGAGCAAGTGAAGAAAGTGTTTCAAAAGCAAAGGAGATTTTAACCCTCTCGGAAGTGTTTCTCCCAGTGCAAGAATGCAGCCACACCCTACCGAGGCTGGAGCACGTGGAATAGAATCTCCAAAGGAAAATGAAAGGTGGGCAAGACCATAAGGGCAGGAAGTTCATGTTACCTGGAATGACAAAGCTGCAAAGATGGTTGAATTACGTGGGGAAAAGGGAAATTCCTGGATTACTGATGATCCCTGGGTTGTCAACCTGCCTCTTCCCTGCTCTGCAGCCAGATAGGCAGAGATAAAGCACTACCTAGGGACACTTCCTTTTGTCTCCAGCAAATTGTCCAGTGGACAGCACTGAGGGAAGGACAGAGGAATTTGTCTGTCTTCCTAAACAAACAGAGGCTGGATGGGGCTGTGTCTGAACACAGGTTAGGTCCTACTGATAAACCACAGGTAAAGGTCACTGATCCTCAAAGAACTGACGTCAGGAAGTAGGAAATGTGTTACCTCTGCTGTTCGTGCTGCAGGGTAATGACAGGTGACTCATTTTGAGTGTTTTCTCAGTACAGACACCAAAAAAGTTGCCAGGAAATCTTTCAGTCCTGGAGGGCAGCTTCCAGGGGGTCTCCATGTTCTGGCCCTGCTCCTGTTCCCTGGCTGAGAAGACACAGCACGGCCTAGAGCCAACCCAAACAATGCCAGGCCCAGGACACTGGCACAGGATGCCCCCAAGCCTGCTTGGGACACCCAGCACACTGTGACAGTGGCTGGGTGCTCTGGCTGATCCAGGAGCTCTGTGTCAGGGATGAACCGACGGCACTGGCCAATCCCACTCGCTTGACCACAGTTTCAGCTAAAAACACCTGAGTCCTCGGAGCAGAGCCACCGGGAGACTCCCAGGGGACAGCTGGGACTGGAGTCACTGCAAGGTCACATGGGGAGTGGGGGCGCTGGGGGCAGAGAGGAAAGGGAAAAGGAACCAGGATGGAGAGAGGTTTAAGAAAGGAGGAAAAGAGAATGAAGGGGAGAAAGGGGAGGCTGAAGGCAGAGAGATGAAGGGGCAGAGGGGCTCAGTGGGGTTCTCAGGGCAGGGGAGTTGCTGGAAGTGATGGGGGTTCACTGGGGATGTGGCGGGGGGGTCACTGGGCAGCAGGAACGGTGGTGGGGGTCACTGGGGCTGACAGGGGGGCACAAAGGGGATGAGGAGGATTTATCAGGAGAGGGAGAAAGGACAGCTGAGGTTTCTGGGGGTCCAGAAGGGCAGTGTACCCGGTGGGGGCTGCAGTGGGGCGAGGGGCACAGAGTAGGGTGGGGGTGACATGGAGGGGGTCAGGGAACACTGGGGGATCACTGAGGCAGTGATGGGGGCTGACAGAGAGACCATGGCGTCACTGAGGATGGGGGGATCCCTGAGGGATTGACAAGGGGTTTCCAAGGGAGTCTCTGACACGGTGACAGGGACATCGGAAGGTCACTGAGGGGGATGAAGGGGGGTCCCTGAGGGGGTGACAGAGGATCTCGGAGGGGGTAACAGGGAGTGACAGGAACACCGGGCGGTCGCTAAGAGGAGTGATAGGGAGACCGGGGTATGGTCGCTGGGGGGGTGACAAAGGTGTCTGGGGGGGTGAAGGGGAGGTTGTGGGTTCTCTGGGGGAGTGGCAGGGGTGAGAGCGACGCGGTTTCGGTGTTTGGGTTCCCCCCGTACCCCCCCCTTCACCTCAGCCGCTCCCGCGCCGTCCTCGCGCTGCCCCGGCCCCGCCCCCGGCGCGCGCTGCCACCGCCTCCTTTCCGGCCGTCGCAAAAGGGGCGTAAAAGAAGCGCCGCCCGGTGCGGGAGCGGAGGTAGCGCTGGGGGTGCCCCGGCGGCGGGGGCTGCGCGGGGCCCCGGCCGGGCGCGGCCCTGAGGGCGCGGGAGGCGCGTGGGGGAGCGGGGAGGGCCCCGAGGTGGGGCTGGGCCCGGGCCGGGCTGAGCCGGGGTCCGGGGGGATCCGGGGAGATCCGGGGCTGCGCCGTGGGCGGGGGCGAAGTGCCGGCGGGGCCAGGGCTGCCCTGGGCCCCTCCCCGGCCGGGTGTTTGCCGGGCCCGGTGGGAGTCCCGCGGCAGCCGGGCCGGGCGTTTGTTTTGGAGAACGAGGCGCTCCTGGGCTGTTTTTCCCCGGCTCATCCCCTCAGGATGAGGGAAAAGCTCAGTTTAATGTACTGGGAATAATTTTTCTGGTCATCCAGGGCAACGCCCACAGGGACCTCCGCGGTGACTAATTCTGGTCGCCTGGCGATTGGAGAGGTGCAGCTCTGCTTCCTCCCGAGCTTGTCGAACACAGCGAAGGCCCTGCCACTTTCTCTTCTCCTCCCTCTGACGGGGCTGCCTGAGGTGGCTTTTCACTGCTGGAATTTGCCTTGCTGAGGGTGTGGAGAGTGGAGGTCAGATCACTTGTTCTTAGGCCAGTGATGACCTTTGATTTGCACAGTTTTCTCTACCTGTGCAGTGCAGATGGCTTTAGAGCTCTCTGTCTTCCTTTCTGTGCTTTATTTGCTGGACTTCAACCGGGTTTACTTTTTTTTTTTTTTTTTTTTTTTTTTTTTTTTTTTTTTTTTGTTTTCTTCCCCAAAAAATTTTTTTTTCATGGTTGTCTCCTACAGATAAACAGCAAACTCTTATTTTGAGTCTCCTTTCTCTACTGCGTCTCTGCTTCCTGTGGAGAGTTACATGTCTGGTTACCTGCTTTCAAGGGAGATGGAACATTGTGAGGGTTCTTCTTTGTGCTGGAAAAGTTGTTCCTGACCCTGTATTTTCTTTTTACAGCTGCTTCATGCTGTCTGTGGCCAGCTAAAGCTCTCCAGCTCCTGCATGTTTTCTTGTATATATTGAAAGTTGAACAGACAATGAGCTGGGTTAAATTTAGAGAGGAAAAAAGCTATACCAAAACTGAAATAAGGAACAGAAATCTGAAAAAAAAAATGTGCATAACTATTTTTAAGTGGTTGTCCAGCATCACTGCAGAGACAAATCTGCTCCAAACCAATTTAACTTAAGACTTTTCAGTGTTAGTACAGTTTTTGGTGCTGTCAGTTGATAACCTGAATGGTGTCACCTGCTCTCCTGGGAGAGGTGTGAGGGGTCTGGCTGTGCCCCAGTCTGTAACACAACTCACTGCTGGGCTTGGGAGTTTCTGCTGCTGCTGGCTGCAGGGTTTTACTGCTGCATTTGGAGCACTTGTTTCTTGTTGTTCCATCAGCAATTCTCCAAATAACTTTTTCTTTCAAAGGCGTAGTCCTATGAAATCATCTTGCTTTGCTGATGGCAAATGAAATGCTCTTTAGGGCAGCAGCTGGGAACTTTTGATATCCTAAAATCTCTTTTGTGTGCTCAGGTGTGTCTTGCCCCCTTGTGTTTTGCAGGATCTTATGGTTCTCCAGCCCAGCTGCTGCCTGCCCAAGACAATTCCTAGGCCACCCAACCCATGAGTGGGCACCGGAGCATCAAGCGGCGATGTGGGGAATCGCACCTGGAGGGCCCCGCAGGCTGCGGCCACGGCCCCAGCGCTGCCTGCGTGCTCAGCAAACTGGTGCAGCTGCCCACGCCGCCCCTGTCCAAGCACCAGCTCAAACGGTTAGAGGAGCACAAATACCAGAGTGCCGGACGGTCCCTGCTTGAGCCCCTCATGCAGGGCTACTGGGAATGGTTAGTTGGAAGAGTTCCAGCCTGGATTGCCCCCAACCTGATCACCATCATCGGACTGTTAATAAATATATTTACAACTCTGCTATTAGTATGTTACTGCCCAACAGCTACAGAACAGGTGAGTTATGGACTCCTGGCACTTTGGTCGCTGTCAGTGGTTTTGGCTGGGTTGTTGCTTTGGGGCGAGCTGGTTCTTGCTGTTCAGCCTGCAGTCCTCGTCCTTGTAACCTGTTCTCTGTAAATGCTTGTGCCTCTCTGTGATGCTGGCATGCAGAGAGATCATGTGTGGATGCTGGAGTGAGACAGCAGTTCCTGGGGCCAACACACCCATACGGAGTAGGATCTGACACCAAAGCAGCCATGAGGGATCTGCTGCACAAAGCTCAGCCCTGCCAGGAGTTGGAGCGGTGGCTCTGCAGCTACCTGGCCTGCGTGGCAGGAGGAGTTGGTACCTGTTTACTCTCTGTGACCAGAACAGGGTGACTCCCCTCGGCTCTGGGATCAGAGTTGCCACACGAGCTGGGTGGGTTGGACATGCTGGGGCTGCACCAGAGCCAGGGCACTGAGCTCTAGAGTAGGGCCACTTAAGATGTCAAAGCTGGTGTGAGCAATCCCAGCTTAGTGAGCCACAGGGACACCCTCCTGGGCTCCACAGGTTCTGTGTCCTGGCAGCTCAGTCAGGACTTTGGCACAGCGTGGTGCAGTTGTGTTCCTGAGCTGTGGCTGTGCTGTGAGAAAGCTAGATAAAAGTCAGTGGTTTTATTCTTTGTTCTGAATGCTCTAAAAGCTTACCTGCCCTGAGCAGAACTGTTTCAACCTGATTTCAGGGGTACAAAAGTCTTTCAGGCATTTCAACTTCCCTCTATCACCAATTACCTCATAAGGCACTTGAAGACTCATTTTTGTGCACTGGAAGAGTTTTCACTTGAATGTTGAGTCTTAAAAGCTGCTTTTATGTGTGTGCACTGAGAAAGGGAGTTATTTGGTATAGAAATGTGTTACACACCAAATGGCTGGGAATGTCTCAAGAGTTCCAGCTTTTAAAACATCTGAACTCCTTCCTAACCAAGTCTCCCAGCTGAGGTTGGAAATCCAGCCGGACACAGTTTGTTCCCCACCAGTCTCCAAAATCTCACATAGGTTGGCACAGTCAGCACTGCATCTCTGCTCCACGTATGAAATGGGAAAGGGATGTTTGCCTCTCCTAGAAATCTGTTGAAATAGATTGTTTCACAATAATCTGTGGAATTTGGCAGGTGTAAAATAAACAGTGACTATTCAGTTTGAGCAGGGAATACTTGGAGCAGCTCCTTGCTTTTCCAGGCTGTGGCATTGTGGTGTGTGTTGGTTTAACTTGTGTTTACTTCTGGGCAGGGTTACGTGGGGGCTCAGACTCTGAAATCTGGTCTGATAGAGAGACTTCAGTTCTCAGGAACCCAGAGCTGGTTTGGGTCACTAAACTGGAGCAGAATTTAGAATCTGGAGAACAGTTGTATCTTGATGGGTAACTAAACTTCTGAAGTGCCCAGGAAGCTGCACTCTGAGCATGAGAAACTCAGTGTTAGCTGAAGGCTGCTGTATGAAAGCACTGTTTGGTGTTTAATAGTTTGAGAAGTACTTTGTGTGAGGTGAATGAGATTTTTCTCCTCACTTGAACTGAAAAACAGCTTAGTGCTGAGGCAGCTTTTGGCCTGATCTGATTTGCCACACGGCACAGCATGACCAGGGAGGTGCTTTTTAACCGTCAAGGAACTGTGTGGGGAAGAAAATGGGGCTCTGAAACTCCAGGAGCAGAATTTCTCCTCCTCCCCCCCAAACCACTATTGATTTCTGATGTAAATTTTCTTCTCCTTGTAGCTCAGCCTTACTTCTGCCTTTTTTCAAGAGTGACTCCTCCCTTCCTGTTGCTGAAGGTGCAGCTGGGGCAGAGCTGTCACTCAGGGCCTTGTGCAGCCAGAGAGTAAAGGAGATGCAAATACTTCCTGCTTAGCTGGGAGGAACCAGCTGGAAAAGTGCAGACTGATGGAATGGTACCTGAGTTTAAAAAATAAAAAGGAAAAATTACCTGGATAAGGAGAGAGCTATGAAATCTTACTTGGATATAAATAGGTGTAAGTGGAAACACCTACACTGCTCATGAAAGGAGCTTTTAAGAAAGGAGAGCCAGCAGATTGATTTTTAAGTTTATAGAGAAACCTTCAGGGTGATGCAATTTAGCTTAACTGTGGCAGATAAAATCTGTACATGAGGGATAAAAATGAGGGAGTTGTGTGGCATCAGAACCTCGGCTAAATGTGGTGCTCTGCTCTTGGGTGGCACATTCCACCTTTCTCACCTTGTGCTGTTTGTACAGACAGTACTGAAAGCACATCACAGCGGCAGCTTTCGGGGCAGAACGAACTGTTTTGGTAAATGGCAGGAGCAATGCAAGTTGTAGAAGGAAATATATTTAAGTTGATGTGCTACAAATTAGTCATGGTTGTGTTAGCCAAAACCAGCTGGATGTCAGGGCTTTATGAGAGGCAGGTCAGCTTGATTAAACTGTATTTGGTTTTTCTTGGTGTGGTCTGTAAAATAACGCTGCTCGTAAATGCTCACTTCTATAAAGTGTGTCAAAGGTGAAGATGGCAAAATCGCCAATAATATCGGATTTATGGATGTGTAAACAGAATGGAGTAATGGCAACTCCCTGGCTTTTCTGTTCTTAATGGTTTATGCTTCAAAAAGCATAAAAAAGCTTGGATAGTAATCTTTGCTCCAGCAGGGCTTTGGCATTGTTTATGTTTCTGTCAGAGTAGAAATCCTTTTCATGGATGTGACCATTAAGGGTTCTTAATGTAGATTTGGCAAAGCTGCTGGTGCCTCGTACTGGAGGGGACACTTGGTGGTGGAGGGGCTGTGCTGCAGAGCTCCAGAAGTGTTCTTGGACTCAAAGTCTGGGCACTGGCAGTGACACAGCTCTGGTCTGGTGAAGGGCTGGTGAGCATGAACACTGGTGAAGTGTTTGTGACAAAGTTGGGGGCTAAAAGTTCCCAAGTTTCTGAAATCAATGCAACAACTTGCATGTATTTAACGAGGACTTTGCTGTGCACTGCTTTGCAAATGTAGTATTACAATTTTTTCAGCTGTACAGTGCAGCTTTCTACTTCATAGCAGGGGCTGTAGCTATTAATCTGTCACTGGTTTATTTACATTCCGTATGTAACAACCCATTCTGTCTGTCCTTGCAAGGACCAGCTGCTGAAAGGTCCCTGAGTGAGGAGCTGTATGTGCAAAAGGAAAACTGTTTTGTCAGGCTGTGGGACAGCTGCAGGCTTTCCTCTTTTTTGAAGAGAATTTTATCTGTTTTAAACCTTATTGTGATTGCCTTTCTCTCTTAGGCACCTCCCTGGGCATACATTGCTTGTGCTTGTGGCCTTTTCATCTACCAGTCCCTGGATGCTATAGATGGAAAACAAGCAAGAAGGACAAACAGCAGCACTCCGTTAGGAGAGCTTTTTGATCATGGCTGTGATTCATTGTCCACAGGTATTGTTGTCATTTTTAATTGAAGTAGGAGGATTAAATTACTGTGTTTCAGGGATCAAATCTGCAGTACAATAAAAAAGCTTCTTTACTGAGGAAAGGACAACTGATAATGTTGAATGTATCAATTTCAACCAAGAAAGTCACCTTTCTTTCCATAGAACAGTGCTCTGGATCAGCTGAATGTCTTCTCTTGTATCACATTGAAAAAAAAAAAAAACTAAGCATGTGACTAATTCAACCTGAGCCAGCACTTCTCTATGATGTTTTAGCAGAGTCTTGGTTCTAACATATTTTCTGTAAGAAATTGTCATAATACTCTGCTATATTATTTCATATTGACTTGATACAGAGTGGTACCAAGACAGGTCTAAGCCTAAGCAGTGGGACTCCTCTACAAGTCAGAGTTTAAGATTCAAATTGTCTAGGTCAGTTCCTGGGTGTGGAGTTCATTGAGCCAGCCTGAAGTTTAACCCCATTGCAAAAAAATTGTAAAATCATAGAATATCTTGAGTTGGAAGGGTCCCACAAGATTGAGTCCAACTCCTGCTCGGGTGTTTTGGATTCCTTAAATTCTAAAGGTTTTAGGCTTTAAATTTTATGAATTCTTTATCAGAGTTGTATATGGAAAGGGTGGACGGGAAAGCTTAGATATGTTACTCATCCTGAGTGTAGACCTTCGATTTTCTTGATGCCATCAGAAAAAGTCAGAAGACAGGGAAAAATGTCTGGCAAATGCAGGAGAAAACCCCAAAACTTGCTGCAGGCTGCATCTGCAGAAATTACTCAAGTCCCTTAATGACATCAGGCATCGCAGGGAATAAAAATGTAGGAGACTTAGAAACCCTTAATATTGATGGCTTCTAATAACTTATATGGATTGAAATCTGTGTTGTGCAGCCTGTGTATTTTTAAGTGGAAGCGTTAATCTCTTATGTCTGTGAAATAACCATGGCAGGATAACCTTCCCACTGTCCCTCCTCTGGGCCCTGTTGTTAGCTTTGCTTCTGGTGAGGATGCTTGCACACATCCACCCTTTTCACTCTGTGACTGATTTTCTCCTGCAGTCTTTGTGGTTTTGGGAACTTGTATTGCTGTGCAGCTGGGCACCAACCCTGACTGGATGTTCTTTTGTTGTTTTGCTGGGACATTCATGTTTTACTGCGCACACTGGCAGACGTACGTCTCGGGGACGCTGCGCTTTGGCATGTAAGTACCTGGCTGAGAAAAAGGGAAAGGCACCCTGTTCTCCTGAATTGCACCTTGTGTGGCCATAGTGCAGTGCCTCAGAGCAGTAGCAAATTGTTTTTATCCATAGTGACACGCTTAGAGCTTCTGGCAGGTGTTGGATCTGTAATTAGTAGTGAATGTCCCTTAGCCTGTGTTAGGAGTGGTAAAAATATAATTCTGGCCTGTTAGTTAATTAGAGCTTTTGTTGTGATATAAAGCTAAATAAGTAATGGAAAGTACCTGCTGTTTTATCTTAAGACTGAAATGCTTTGGTCAGATGGTGGCAGTCTGGCTTTAGCATTCGTTAAACTCTGTCTTGATACTGCTTGATTGTGATGTGCAGTTATTTGTTAATATTGACCATAACCCTTAAAATATACTGTATTAATTGCTGTTGTGACTCCAATTTAAAGTTCGGAATCCCTTTTGGTTAATGCAGATCATGGTTCTGTCAATAAATTGAATCAAAATTGCAATGCCAAGAAGGTCAGGATCAGAAATCCTGTTTCCTGCTGTATGAGGCTGGGTGGGAGGTGCAAGGCAGGGGCTTGGTGAGCTGTGGGATTCTCTAACCTTAATGAGGAAATAAATGTATTCTATGTTGAGAAGTTATTCGGTGTTTGCATTCCAGAGTAAACAAACACGCTTCAAATAAATGCACTGGAGAATTTTTTTTTTTCCATCTGGAAACTGAAATTTGCCTTTAGTTTGTGGGATTTTGAAACAATTCTAGAACAACTACATACAGATGTCTAAGGGACTGTTATTTATGATCTATAATTACTAGTCTGTAGGTACCCAGATACTGCTAAAACAGTACAACTCTGGGTCTCTTATATATGACAGCTTTTATTGACAGGATACTGTTTCAATAATGCAGATGCTCTTGATAAACTTCTGTGGTTTTGCTCAAAAATTTAAGACATTGGACCAGTTTTAAATGTCTGTTAGAGGAAGAAAAGAAAATCTAGACTTCTGTTCCAACTCTGACTACAGTAAAGCATATTGACTGAAACATCCCATTCTGGTACTTAAATCTTTAAAATAAGACATGTGGCTCAAATAGTTTCCTGTTTTAGAAGTCTCACTTTCATGTTGTACCAGAAGTCTGAATGCTTTTAGCTCCCTTCAAACTTTACAGGGCCCTGATAATCAAAGATTTCTGTCTATTGATCAAAGAACACAAAAGCCTGACCTTGACATGTGCTTGACTTTACAGACAGAAGTACCAACCTCCCCAAACTGCTGCTGTGCTGCAGAGAAGTGTTTGGGTCAGTGCTGGTGTTGACTGGGGCATTCCTTTGTGAGAGTCTGTATTTTGGAGGCATTTTTCAGCAAATTTGATTTTTGTGCCTGGCCTTATAATAGTGTAAGAATGTGGTGACCATTAATATGTAGCTAATTCAGACAAGGCAATAAGCACCTAAATGTGTGTATCATTAATTTAGGTAACACAGCACTGTGTAGTAAACATATTTGTTCCTTCTTTTGCCCTCTGTCACAAGGTTAATAGACTGTCATAAGCTGATGTTCATTTTAATGCATAAACCACGAGACTATTTATCCAGTTAACAGATTCTCACTGTTTGACACTTTTTTAATGAAGCTTTTGTTTCACTAACCTAAAACTGAAAAAAGGTATTTTGTCAACCCTTTCAGATTCACTGCAATGCACAGACTTAGGTATCCTTAATCCTGAATAAGTGGGATCAGAGACAGATGTTGAAAGGAGCCAGCAGGAGCACAGGAGCTTTTTCCTGTCTGTATCCCATGTTGTGACTCTCAAAAATCCTCAGAGAGAGGGTGTAGTAGTGATGTTTTAGGGAATGTGACGGTGGTTTTGGCTTGCCTTAATTCAGAAGCAGCAGGAAAGGGTAGACAGCTGGTTATCAGTTACTGTATTTGTGACATGTCCAAGAAATTGTATTTCAGTACTGAGAGAACTCAATAATGAAATGGCTTGGAGAAGAGCAGAGGGTGCTATAGGGAGAGATTGTATTTCTTTCCTTCCACACAGGCCTAAAATGTTGAGTTGTAGAATCAGCCTGTGTTGCTGGAAAAGTCCATTTTAAAAAAAACCAGGGAAATCAGTTTGTCAAAGAAAGTGTGCGCTTGTGGAACAGTATGTGGTTTGTGTATGAGGAAGGGACTGCAGCTCCAGGAGCAGCTGAGGGAGCTGGGAGGGCTCAGCCTGGTGAAAAGGAGGCTCAGGGGGAACCTTCTGGCTCTGCACAACTCCTGACAGGAGGGGGCAGCCTGGACGGGGTCAGGCTCTGCTCCCCGGGAATAAAGGACAGGGCAAGAGGAAACAGCCTCAAGTTGCACCAGGGAAGGGTCATGTTGGACATCAGGAGGAATTTCTTCCTAGGAAGGGGTGGTCAGGCACTGGAAGGGGCTGCCTAGGGAGGTCTGGAGTCCCCATCCCTGCCCAAGGAACAACTGGAAGTAGCGCTTAGGACTGGTGACAAGGTGGGGATCAGTCAGGCTGGGCTTGTTGATCCTGGAGGGCTTTTCCAACCTTAACAATTCCATGATTCATTCTGGTGTTACTGCACCAACCTTGGCAAGGCCCTGAAGCTGTGCAGGGCCTGTCAGATTGCAGGGCAGGATCAGTTTGCAAGATTCCTACAGATGCTGCAAGTGGAAGAGGAAAACTTTGTTCAGTTGTGCACAATTACTGAATCCATCAGCTGTGTATGTTCTTTGTCTTCTCCCTGACAGCTGTGGGGGTGTCCCTGTGCTACTCCGGGATTTAGAATAATCAGTTGAGTCAAGAAAGTTCTGTGATCTGTCTCCATCTTCAAATGATCACATAATTCCATTAGATCCTGGCAATCACTGCACTCTTCAAAAAGCAGTTGGTGTTGATTGAACAGCTCAAATAGCTAGAGGTCAGTATTGCTTAAAAATTCCCCAGGAGGTAGCAGGAAGTGTCTCAAGGCAAGTGGGGCAAGCTCTAGGAAAGTCACTGTAACAATATCAGCAGTGCAAAGGCAGCAGGGAACAGCAGGGATAGAGTTAGATGCAGAAGTTTTACTTAAAACACCTGACCTGGGAATGATCTTATGGAAGATCAGGAATACTCAGCATATTTGAAAAAAAGAAAGGTGATATTGAATAGCAGAGAGACACTTAGTATTGAAGCAGCCCAAATAATGACTTGGTTCTCCTGACCTGGTTTCCAGCACAGGAACTGGTTTGTCTGGGTTGTGGATTTGCTGTGCTGCAGCACAGGATGAGCTGAGTCATGTTTTGGGGCAGTTGTGCTGTCACTGGGGCACCTCTGCTTTGGAAACAGAGAATTTTTTCCTGCATATCCCAAAAATCAAACTGGCAGGCTGCGATGGACTTCCATGTGTCCTTGTGGAAGCAGATGTGAGGTACTTCATGAACATGCTGTGGAAAACGGATCATTAGGGAGTACGGTGCACAAATCCTGAAAGGATTTTCCTGATGTTATCTGGAGCCCAGGTGTGATCACCTGGTTCTTCCCCAATCCAGGGTTATCCTACTTGGATTCAGTAGTGGTCCTGGTCCCTGCAGGAAGTGCAGGAGGAGAAGCACGTGTGTGGAGGCTCAGGATGTTCCAGCTGCTCAAGGTCAGAGCACAGCCTGACTGCAGGGGCTGTCCCACATGCAGGGGCTATCTGTCCCTGTCAGAGCTGGATTCTGCAGCACAGCTCAGAATCACAGAACCATGGAATTGGTTTGAGTGGGAAAGGACATTAAACTCATCCAGTTCTACCCCCTGCTATGAGCAGGGACACTTTCCACTATCCCAGATTGCTCTAAGCCCTGTTCAATCTGGCCTTGGACACTTCCAGAGATGGGACAGCCGCAGCTTCTCTGGGCAACCTGTGCCAGGGCCTCACCACCCTCGCAGGGAAGAATTTCTTCTCAATATCCCATCTAACCCTGCCCTTTGGCAGTGGGAAGTCATTCCCCCTTGTCCAACCTGGGTGTTCTCTTGAGAGACACAAACTGCTCAGGTAAAGTACTGGTGCATTTGTTCATGATGGAAGTGCTGGAGGTGCTGAATCATGTTGAAAAAACCCAGTGGGCACTGAATGCTCAAGGGTCCATCCAGAGACATGAGGGGGCTGTTGTACCATGGTCTCCAGCATTTCTCCTACAAGTTACTGCATTATCTGGTTTATTACAACCTTTTTTAGTGAAAATACCATAAGTTGGTGATGGTAGGCATTATAGCTGTGTATGTATGTATGTAAATATGGACACAGTGAGATGGAAATTAGTTTTCAAGGAGACTTCACAAAGGAATATCATAAATAGGAGAGGAAGAATCAGTTTTTACCACCTTTCATAGAACTGAAAAGTTAAAAATGGTTACACTGCCATTTGAATAATAATCCCCAGAGAAAGCAAAATAATTCAGGCTGCTGAACAAAACAGCCTTTCTTGATGAGAGTTGGAGGATTTGGGGAAACATTCCTTTTCAGTGACTCTGGAGCAGCCATCCAGGCCCAAGAGCCTGTGGGATAATAGGTTGGTTCACCTGAGTCCTATCACCACTGCTGCCACTAAGGTCCAAAGAAGAGGTGAGGAAATGGGGGATTTCAGAAAGCTAAGCCAACCTGTTTCTTCAGCCTCAGCAGAGGAGGAGTTGATGTTCTATCTTGCATAGACAACACACACCAAATACTGAAATACAGGGATGGAAACCTTCCAAGTCAGACTTTAGCACATTGAGTTCTTGCTCCTGAGAACAGCCTCAGGATCTCCACTCTGAGATAAGGCAATCATTCCCATGATTGTAGAGCTTAAAACTTTCCAACGCTTCTTGGAGAGCATTTACACCAAGGATATTTACAGAGAGAGTCTGAGGCTAAGTAGAGCCACTGTTGATGTCAGCAGGTGTTGGGTTCTCTGTTCTTGCAAGCAGGATGTGTTGAAGTGTCTTTGTGGTGGGTGTGAAGTTTGGTAACCTGCACCTCCTGCTCCCTCAGTCACACTGGCAGCGTCACAGAAACCCGTGCAGCTGATGAGGGCTCGTGGAGAAGGTGGGGGGTGGTTTCCACATCCTCCTCCTCTTCCCTCCCACAAGTCCTTCCAACAGCATTTTCAGATGCAATCCCATTGGTCATGTGTGGAGATGCTGCTCCTTGTTGTTCTGATAAATCCTTGGAGTTCTCACTGTTCTGTGAACATAACAAACATATGGCTATTGCCTGACCTGTGCAACTTCTGTGTATCTCTGTGAGCAGCAGAAGGAAAAATTTACATACTGGATGAGTATAATAACAAGGAAGGGGGCTTATTTTTTATTATTTTCCCCCTAATTTTTAATATTATTTTTCCCTTAACATGAATTTCCTGGTGCTGGAAATAATTCTAATTCTTGTTCTCATTTTTTCTGTACAGTTTGCTTTATTCACACTATTGTATTTCATAGCATCGAAGTGAAACTGCTGGATTGGAATGAGTTAGGATAAAACTCGAATCAACAAAGTGTTTGCACTTTTAGCATGTGACTCTCAGTCTTTCTTTCTCTTGTGTTCTGATGTTGAACATTCTTTTCTTGCTGCTGTGGTTCCCTTAAGAAAACAGTCCTTTGTCTCCTGCTCAGATTCCCAGTTCATTGCTCAGCCTTAGTAATCCCACTTGCACACTCAGTAGATATGGACAAGACAGATGGAAGAATCATCATTTTCCAGACCAGAGCATTAACTGGTAGATGGATCCCTGTAAGTTTTCCAGCTCCATAACTTCTGTTTTCTGTTGAGGCAGGAGTGTTTTTCTTGTCTGCTGTGATTTGGGACTTTTTCATGGAGTTTTATGTGTTGGGAGGAGAAGAGGAGGATGGTGCATAAGCCTCCGCTGTAGTTTCACACAGCCTTAAAAAGCTGTATTAGATGAACTGTGTTGCTAGTGATTGACTTGATTTCAGGGCCATCTCCAGTGTAAGTGTCTGTTTCCTGTTTTCTCAGGGCATCTCTCTATTTGAATTCAGTTTGGGTTCCCTGTTAGCACAAGGAAGGGACTGACTGCAGCTGTCTCTGAGCCCTGAGCCAGTGGTGGCTCTTGAATTGTCTAATGATTTGCTTAGTCAAACATGGCCTTTTAAGAATTGCCCACGGAATACACTCAATAAATTAGCACTGACAAGGGAATATTCTGGATGCAGGACTAATCCCCTGTGTGTTAATTGGCTTCAGACTCAGGAGCCTGACAGGGTTCCCAGCAGAGCAGGCACAGGGATTGTCAGTGCCAGCATCTCTGTGGAGTGAAGCACATGCCAAGGTCAATGCCCCTTCTTAAACTTCCCAGATGATGTTTAAAAGGTGGATCCGTGTCTGAATTACAAATATCACCTAAAATAACATAGGAAAAAATGAATAGAAACTGCAGCTGTTGTGAAGCACCAAAGTAGCTGTGGGGTTTGGGCATGGGGCTTTCTCTTGTTGTAGTCCCTAAAATACCAGCTATTGCCTCTCCCAGCTATTTACTGTATTATGTGCTGTGCTAATTAAACTGAAAATGCTTATCAGGCTGAACTTCAGCGGCCCCTCTCCTCAGGCCTGGTGTCTGCATATCATCACTGCACCTGAGCCCTGCAGTGGGGCCACAGTGACCTTTCTGTGCTGCCCATTTTAAATCCCTTGGCATGGTGGGTGTCTGTTCCAGCACACTCTGATAAGCACAGCCATAAACAGGAGCTGTAGTCTGACTGACCCTGCTGCTGAGTTATTTTCTTTTTAAACTAGATGGTTTGATTTTTTTAAATTTGATCCCATTTAAAAATCTTTTGTTAGGCTGAAATGCAGATTTATGGCACTGTATTAGGAGAAAGGGTGGGTTCTGTGGCTCTGTTGGCTCTGGTATATTTTTTCATCTCTTTCTGTCAGGGGTGAGAAATAAATAGATACAGAATGGAGTGATTACCCCTGAGCAGGGGTCCAGAGCTCACTTCTTGGAGCATTATTTGCCAAAAAGCTGCATGAGAAGGGAGATGAAACTTCTTCCTTTCCCTCAGAGGTGTCAAACTGAAATACAGTCTGCATTTCTGTTCCACTGAAACATGCAGGAGCATCTTCAGCTAAAGAATTCATATATTCAGTGTTGTTTGCAGACACAAGCATGAGGTTGGGAGATGAGAGTCCTGGATTGTGCTTGTTTATGGGTTTTCACCATGACTCAGAGCAAGGAATTGCATTTATTCCCTCATGCACACACCGAATGATTGTTTTTTCTCATGTGTTGGAGTGATACGGTAAAACTGTAAATTGCAGAAGTTCTGAATGAAGATTTAAATGTGTAAAATACTATGTGGGTTAGAATGGTTTTGTTAATTCCTTAGTACTCCTGGGTTTTGTGGTTGTTAATCCCTACCCTGAATCGCCCTTTGAATCATCCCGACCCTGGATTTATCCTTTAGCCTGACTGAAGATGTTTAATGGTTCCCCTTCAGAGGAGTGCTCAGGACAGTGTTCTGAACTGTTTCTCTCCCTCACATGTAGATTTGATGTGACAGAGTCCATGCTCTGCACAGTAGCCATCCAGCTCCTCACGGGAACGCTGGGGCCCTCGTTCTGGAACTACACGGTAAAGCCTTTGCTTGGCAGCGCCATGGACTGCGCAGGGCAGCACCTTTGTCATGCACTGCTCTGTGGAAAGCAGCTTCTTTTTCGTATTTGACACAAGGTGTTTTCATATTTAACACAAGGAGGAAAAATATTTGAATGAGTAGGAAAAATTTGATTTAACTGGAAACAAATTTTTTGAAAGCATCTCATTTTATTTGAAACCAAAGCAAAACCTGCCTGTTCAACAAAAGTTTAAATCAAGCTTTTCTTTTTATCACAGTTTTGGCTTCACCTAAAAGCCAAGCGGGGCTGTGGAATCGTCTCTAAGTATGGGTGTAGAATAATGTTGTTGGAACTACTTTTTTAAAAAGCTTCTTTTGTTGCTACCATTTCAATACCTTTCCACCAAAAAAAGGAGAATTTCTTGGCTCTTTCAGGGAGCTGTGTCTTGTGTAATAACTTAAAAAGTCTGGTTAAAAATGTTTGGTTTAAGCTGTGCTGCTTGATCCCTGTGCTTGTAGCTTCATGAAGAAATAACTTCCTTTCCAGCTTGTCTTTATTTTTAAAATACTTTTCCATATGTCTGTACTAAATAAGTCCTTCTCCCCTCTAGTTTGCTTGCCTTAAAAAGGACTTTCTCTTCCTTATTTCACCTCTTTGTTTTTTTTTTTTTTTTTTTTTTTTTTTTTTTTTTTTTTTTTTTTTTTTCTGATACATTGTATGTGGGTAGGGTTCCCTCCCAATAAAATGTTATCATTAAAAGTGAATGAATTGGATTCCTTGAAATATATCATAGATTATGATTATTGTTGATGAATTTTTAGCCTGGACTTTTCCTTGAAATATTTCAGGATATAAGAACAGCTTTTTGATCTCTTTCTTAGAACTGCATCAGATGTTAAAGAAAAGTGAGATTATTTTTTTGATGATTGGTTTGCATAGCCTTTGTTAAACCTGTGTTGATGCTAATTATTTTCAAATAGTTCTTTTGTTTTTTCATGCAGCAGCTCAGCAAAATCTCTGCTTTCAGGAGGTTATTTAAGAAGATGAGTTACTGGCTCTGCTTTAGATGCAGCACCATCAGCAATCTGGTAAATCCTGACGTGTCTCCAGCTGACCTCGGGAGCTGGGTGGCTCTAAAGGGAGTCAGGTGACATGAGTGACTTAATTTTTAAAATAATTTGTTCATAATCTATGAAAGGCTGGAAATAGTGTCAGGAAATAGTAATTTAGCAAGCAGTAATGCAAAGGAAGGAAGAGCTTAAATCAAGATTTTAGCCTGTAATATCAGCTGACCAAGGAGTCACTTAGGGCGGAAAAAATGATAAAATCACATAGTTCTGAAACACTCAGAGTTCTGAAATCATTCCCTGGTGTGATGGTTGTGGGGTGGAAATAACTCAAATTGGGTGATGAAAGGAAATTGTTTGAACTGGAGTAGGACAATTTGCCATGGGGTGGAAGAGAGAGGAAGGGCAGGTGCAGAGGACCTGGAGCTGCTGAAGATGTCCAGCTGCAGCCCCCCCAGCAAAGGAGGCCTTTGCCATTCCAGGAGATACTGGTGATACTGATTCTACAGCCAGCTGGGGAGTAGGGTGTCAGGGGCCAGGTGGGGCATTTTCACAGAATCCCATGATGGTTTGGTTTAGAGAGACCTTAAAGCTCATCCCATCCCACCCCCTGCCACGGGTGGGGGCCACTTCCACTTGCCCATGTTGCTCCAAGCCCTGGTGTCCAGCATGGCCTTGGACACTTCCAGGCATGGGGCAGCCACAGCTTCTCTGGGCAGCCTGGGCCAGAGCCTCACCACCTGCACAAGGAGGAACTTCTTCCCAATGTCTCATCTGTCCCTGCCCTCTGGAACTGGGAAAGCACTTCCCCCTTTTCTTGTCCCTCAGGCTCTGGTAACTGGCTCCTGAGACAGAACCCCAGGTGTTGCCTGTGACAGATCTCCTCACACACTTCTTTTAACCCAGTTTTAGGCACTGAGTTACAGGATAGACTTTTAAATCTATTTAAATTCTTGCATGAGTAATTTCAGATGCCTTCTGGCATCTTTACTTTTAGTCTTAACTCATAGCTAAAGATGCTGCTGCTTCCAAGTGGTTTACTCAGACACACCAAGCATCAATGACATTTACACACTCAGGCAGAACAGATTTTTAGGTCAGTATTGCACATCTCAGATGGGTAAGCTACAGAAAATGTGTATTCATACTCTGGCTGTTTCATGTGACAAACATTTGTACTGAGAAAATATAATAATATAACCTTGTCTTGAAAATTATACAGGAGCTAGGACAGTATGTAGTGAGTAGCTTCAAATTCTTGCAGCACAGCTAAACCTTGTACTTGCTGGGCAGGAAAGTTTTATGTTCACCAAGGAGGGGAAAATGTCTTAAATTGTTAATGAAGTTTACTTATCCCTATAGCCAATGGGAAATTATTTAGAAGAACCTGAAGGCTTAAAAAGTTGAAAATAAAAATATTTTGGGAATCAAAATAGGTTTACTCTGTTATTCCCCACATTCACACTTGAAGTGCCAGAGTTTCAGCTCTGCTTCCCGCTTCTTGCAGTTCTGCAGTGTCACCCAGCAGTTCTTGTACTGATGGAATGTGACTTTGGTTTGGAACATTTTGCCTTGGTGATTTTTCAAAGACCAGAATTGGGCTGTATTAATACAGTTTAGCACAACGATATAGAGGAATTGCAAATAAGGGTCTTGAGGATGGTTCAATCTGGAGACTGCTCAGCATTTTGTAGAAAACAGAATGTTAAAATAATAATTCCTGACAATATTTGGCCACAGAAGTGATTAGAGGGATGGAAACCTTGTATGAGGAAAGGATGGGAGAGCTGGGGATGTTCAACCTGTAAAAGGGAAGATTCCAGGGGGACCTTAGAGCCTATTCTTGTGCCTGAAGAGCTGGAAAGGGACTTTGGACAAGGGATGGATTGCCAGGACAAGGCAGAATGGCTTCCCAGTGCCAGAGAGCAAGGATAGATGGGATAGTGGGGAGGAATTCCTCCCTGTGAGGGTGGTGAGGCTCTGGCCCAGGTTGCCCAGAGAGGTTGTGGCTGCTCCATCCCTTAAGTCTGAGGCCAGGTTGGACAGAGCTTGGAGCACCTGGGATGCTGTGGAAGGTGTCCCTGCCCATGGCAGGGGGTGGAATGGGATGAGCTTTGAGGTTCCTTCTAACTCAAACTATGCTGGGGTTCTCTGGATCTCCTCGTGTGGAAAGACTGTACAAGTTTGAAGACAGGCAAATAATCTGCATTTCAGTTTGTCACAACAGGGAAAGGAGGATCAATAGAGGAAAACACTGTAGTGTGTGCAGGGGAGTCCACGGATGGCAGTGTCACCACAGAATTGCAGCTGCCCCTGGAAACTGCAGGAATTCTCCTGTCTTGTGAATTTAGGCAGATAGGGAGTAAGGGTTGAAATGTGCATTTAAAAACTCACAACTTTTATGCTTCTCTGACTTCATTTGAGTTAAATCCTTGGGTGTTCCGGTTTTCAGGCTGTGGTCACCCCCATGTCAGTGCTGACATTGCCTGACGCTGTCCCTGCCTTCTACAGTGCTGCTGGTTATTATTCTTCCCTAGCATCTCTTTGCTGCAGAATCAGTACTTCTCTGCATTATTGTGAGTGTTCTCCCCAACCTTGCCACTGGATGTTCTGTCTGGGCATTTTAGTTTGTCACATATTGAGTCTGGGCTCTTTGCTCTGTTGTCAGCATCAGCTCTTTGTTCTTGTTCTTCGTCTGGATGTTCCTGCCGATCTTAAACCTCAATACAGGGTCTTCTGTTTATTTTATAGAAGATGAAAAAGCCCCTGGTTTATTTGAAGAAGAGATTTTTGGAACTTGATTCTTTGTGTCCACTGGACTTGTACAATAACTTTCCGTCCATCTGTTGTTGTGTGGGAATGTTTTGGGAAAAGGGTTTGTTTTATTTTTTTCATTTTGTGGGGCTTAATGATCTTCCACACAATGCACACAGTGTCAGTGTCTGAGCGCTGCTGACATGACTCAGTTGTCAGGAAGCATCAGGCAGCAAAGCTGTCAGGTTGCGGGGAAGTGTGGCTCCAGTGATGCCTGAAAATAACCCACATAATAAAAATATCCCAGTTCAGAGGCTTTAAGAACCTCTTGCAGAATTCATGCTGCTTGCTCTTCCCATTTGTTTTTTCTTAGGATTTCCACTGTAGTATTTAAATGAGTAAATAAATACAAACACAAGTTGAAAATAGAATCTTTGAACTGGCTGATTCCCTTCTTGCTTTGAAATGGTTTTTTGCTTTCTTACAGCTCTGTGTGTGGTACCTCCTTATATGTAATTAAATGGGATTACAGTAATTAAATGAGGCAGTCTGCAGGAACAAAGGCCTTTCCCTATTTTCTGCTTTTTTCCCCTTATTTTTTTACTGTAATTTGATATATGATCCATTGCTCCAAAATTGTGTTTTCCCTTATGTGTACCATGGGAGAGACACTTGAATATACAATGGAACTTGATGTAGAATAAAATATAGTACTAATGATGTCCTATCTAAGCAGGAACATTATCACCCTGCTTTGTGAATAAATTCCCCATCCACTGAGGCAAGTTGGATGTATTTTCTCTGAAAAAGAAAGGCATTGGTCAGTCTCCCCCTGTAGAAACCTCCCTCATGGGTCCCCCTGATGGGGAGACCCCAAAAAATTCTGTGCTAGGAATGAGAGACGGATGGGACTCTTGGGTTTTTGGTCTTCAGGTTATTGTTTATTTTTTCTCTTATCGGAAGTTCTGTGTGCCATCTACATCTTAGACTTAGCGTACAAAGAGAAGGCACCAAAAGTCACAAGACACACAGATTCGAGGTCTTTTAAAGCTGTTTTGTCTGATTAACTCTTAGAATGTACTTTATTCCTACCTTTCTACCAATAACTAATTATTTTTCTGTCTATGCAAAATCTGCGTTGTGGTTCTTTTTAACCAATCACTCTGTGCTCCCGACACTGTAGAAAATAGAGTAG